ACTGCGATAGGCCAGAGGCGTCAAGGATGATCTTTCACCATTCTTCTCTTTTCAAGGTGATGCTACGTTTTACAATCACTGGACATGGGTGGGCGTTGGTTACAATGGCTCAAAAGCGGTGAACAAGGAGTCTTATCTTCCATGGAAAAATCCTAGTCGCATCGTCGTGAAAGGTGATTTACTCTGTTGGAGTACAGTTGAACCTCCATGTGCCAATCCAAAACACCAAAACCCACCCAGTGAAGTCTTACAGTTGAAATCTGTCCTGTAAGCGCCCGCGACCACTATTTGGGGCTGACTGGTTAATGATTTTGCATTGTTTTTAACCTCTTGTAAGCGACCACCTGACGAGTTTAATCTCTTGTGGTAGGAACAACAACAACAATTGCATGCAATAAATTATCTTCCTTAAAGTAGAAGTGTCTACTTTTCTTCTCAAAGTAACCTCCTGTGGTTCGATTCTCGAAAGAGACCACCTCCCGTTAGCGAACACTAAGTCTGCGAATTTTGGTTGGTCGCTTTCGGGAGGTTCGACCGGTAGTCTCCTTTTCCAGTTCTTCGGCGGCGTCGGTTGGAACTTGTTTTGTTCATGGGTTTCACGTATAGATTTACACACTAAGGCGCTGCTACATAATATTTTGAAATCAACAAATATTATTTTGGCAGGTGGTACAACTTCGCGATGACCTAAAAGAAGCAGTTTTTGAGGGAAAGATGTTTCGGATTTGTTTCGGTGGAGAGAAACCGCTTGACCGTATGAACTACGATCACTTAGCTGTTTCCTAGGGCCTTTGGTAACTGCCTAATTATACCTCTATTTGTGAAAAAGTAAAGAAATTAACCAAGGGACGGTTTGTTGTTTGTAATACGTGGTAAAAAAATCAGATTTCAATATCTCTGACAAGAAAATGCTAACTTTTAGTGCGTGACAAACAGGCATGCAAAGTTAGTATCCCTTGTTTCTGAAAAGAAAGTAAACTACTGAGAAACAAATGATGTTGCGAACAACGCATTGTCTGTTCAAAACAAAGTTTCCATAAAATTTCATAAGGAGAAAAAAATCAGTAAAAGAAGGCGGAGCTGCTCGAGACGTCGTTGCGTGACATTGTTACTCTCACTGTTAGTTTATGACTTCCTCTCACGCAGTGTATCCCGTTCGCTAAAAACCTCCTTCAAAATAAAATTTCAAGGAAAATGTACCTACCTATTTTAGATATACCGGAGTCAAATTTACGATGATACAGATGGATGCTAATACAAGAAAGTTGGGAAAAGAAACGAGAGGCATGGGATATAGTTTACATAATAATTCGGCGCTTTTTTATAACGCTTCTTCGAGGTCGTTTTTCTTATTATTGTTATGTGAACGATTAATTACTCTGATATTTTAGCATAAACTTTATCACAAAACGTATTCTTGCTTCGTGATGTTTCTGAACATTACATACTGACCCTGAATTGAAACAAAACCGGCTGCCGCAACATTTCTCTACAAATTTGACTTATGCAAATTTGTGACATTTTTCCACTGGTGGTCACGAGACGTTTTATTTTGTAAAGGCGAATCCGGAGTACCCAGATTTTTTATTTCATATTCTGTTAATATAAGAGCTGAACTTTGTCCTTGTATACATTTTGGCTAGGCATCACACATATCAAGGTGAGTTTTTTGCCTCTGAAGTTGCTTATTTTTTAGCCATTTTAAAAAGCGTCATTGATGGTAGTTTTTAAAAAACCATAAAAAATTCAAAATCATGTTTATTGTTTAAAATATACCATGGGTAGAAAGAGCAGATAGAGTTCTTTTAAACAAACATATTTCTGTTTTATAAGCTTTGAATCTTGACTCGGTACAGACGCGATAAAGTAGGTCATTTTTACTCTAATTTTTGCATAATTAATTAGGTAAAAACCGCTATTTTCGTTTTCCCTCAATTTCTCGAAAACTATAAATTCTTGAAAGTTGAAAATATTTTTTTCCAAGATAGTTCCCCAAAGGGGTTTTCCTGACAAATTATCAGAATTTTCGATATTTTTAGCCTGGCCAGCGATTCTGGACATTTACAGTCATGGGCTCTTCACACTCAAATGATGATGATACAACAACAACAAGAACAGTCAAGGGCAATGATGGCTCTGTTAGAGAAATTAGCCAAAAAGTGATCGATGGATTTGTGTCACAGTCAGGTTTTGTAGCATCTTTTGCTGCACTGCATATCATTCCCATACAATAACTACATATGATAACTGTACTTTGCTGGTATGTATCGGTCAAATCCATGCTTAAATATCCCCCTTGCATAAAAGAGCAAAATAAATAAATTATGGTCACTTAATTAAAATTTTTGGTGAGAATTTGATCACTTGAAAAGGACAAAGAATGGGGTATTTGAATGGCTTTTAAACCCTGGGAGGGGGGAATTTAAACACTCAATAACCCAAAAATTCAAATGCCCAGGGAGGATGATTAAGCTTCGATTTGACTGGTACTTTAAAGTAGCATAAGCCAACATCTTAAACTACACTGCATGAACATTTTGGAGTGGCTTGCGGATGAAAATATTTTAAAAAATACACTGCTTGATTTGCAGGCCCACGAGATACAGATGACATCAAACCACCTGTTGCATTTCTATTGTTTGTTTGTTTGTTTGTTTGTTTTTTTGCTGGAAAAGTTGAAACTCGGTTGTCACCAGCAGCAAGGAAGGTTAATTGATGTTGTATATGCACACAATTGTTGCCAGTTTTTTAAGTGACAAAGAATGTTTTGTTTTATTACTTGAGGGATTTTCCTTCTACCTCTGTTCTCTGTACAAATGAGAGGCCTTCCTTCCAGGCCGTCAGTTGTGTTTTTACATGTCAAACCAATCCACAAAAAGTTAATTAAATATTATTTTAAAGGTACTGATTTGTGTGCACAAAATTATATGAGCAAAAGCTATATTTGTTGCTTGAATATCTTAGTTAAACCATATCTATCCCTATCACTGATTATTCTTGGCGAAGAAAACTTACAGGAAACTTTACTAACCCTAGCTAAGTAGAAAACAAAATGTTCCAGTCCAAGAGTCTGGAACTCACAGGGAGGAAGGTTAATCAGATAAGGAAATTTTTACACACAACTCTCTCAAAGAGGCATTTCTGTCACAGGAATTATCTATAAAAAACTTATATTATTCTCATGAAAAGTCCACTGTGACAAAGTCCTGTTAATTAAAATAGTCATTTAATGAAGGTGGATCTAGTGTTTGAATAGAGACAAGTTAAAGCATTCCTTAAAATATAACATACTATATGTACATTTTTCCGACTTGACTTAGTCCTTGAAGTAGTTTACAATATCTCCGAATAACCATTTAACTGATGAGCGAATAGCACTCATAGACTCATTACACATCTCTATATCTCTTGTTAGAATGTGAACCCTGAGTGGGTATGCTGGATCCCCATATAAGCACATTGCTCTACCAACAGTACAAATGCAAAGTTTTGTAAATCATCATACAGTTGGGAGACTGCCAGCATTCTTGCATCGTGCATTCTGCCTTCTACAAGAAGGAAAGAAAACAAAGGTTCCACTCTTAAAACAAATTAAGGATATATATTTCATCATTAATGTTCGCTAAAATCAAGTCATGCAGGCTTTACATTTAACTAGCACGTAGGGTATATGGCGTGGAAACAAGAAATTGAATAGGCTATATCAATTATTAAAAGAATTTCACCAAAAAATACGGGAAAAGTGAGAGGCAAGTACAATGAAAGAAAAATTCCATAAACATGGCAATAAAGGGAAAAAAGGTTGCTTTGTGAATAGAAAAAGAATCTGGGGCTTACCTACAGGACCATAGATATTAGCAATCAGTCCATTAGGAAGCGTGACGGCCTGGAACTTGAGCGCATGTACGCGCTTGTGGCCATTATAAACAACTCGCTGGTTTGACATCGGCCGACTAATGGGCCGCACAGTTCCGTCTATAAAGCCGAAACAGTTATCAAGGGCTGCTCCTTTAGAGTGTACCCCATCTGCATACTTAGCGATTAAAGGTGGGTTTAAAATACCATGGTTCCACCGTGTAACCTTGTGGCCGTGAGTATCATATATCCAGTCTGTCACCAGGTTGCAGATCATACTCAGTTCTGGCACCGATCGCCCAAAGATTGGCATCATGTCAGAATAGCGGCATGGATATGCAAACCGCTTTAGGACAATACAGAGGTCTTCGGTTCCATCGCAGATAGTTCCATTAGAGCACTTGAAGATGGGCGGAACTCTTAAGGCTTCAACAAGTAATGCGATATCCCTTTTATCGACGCGAAAATCAGCTTTGCATTAGGCAGAATTTTTGTTTTCGACAGAAAATTTCTCGTATGCCGAGTGCTGAAATGGAAGATTTTGTGGAGCATACGCCTCGTAAAGCACTGAAAATTCTTCGTCGTCCATAATTTCTTCGTCCAAGCAAGGTAGCAGTAATTCTTGAAGTTTTTGGAAGGAAGCCATTTCTTGTTTCTTCGTTAAAACCTTCGTACGGATTAATGTACTGATATTGACCCCATCGCGTCGCAAATCTTAACTTAAATTTCCGGTGCTTACAACGCCGTCCTCATTCCAGGCTTTTGCCCGGTCACCGCGTCCTAAAAGCCGTCGCGTCCTGGATCTTAAAGTCCCTTTTATGATGACAAGTCACAGAGAAAACTGCATTGCTAATTTAATGTATTATTTTGACTTCCTTGTAAGTTCTATTACCAATTTATTTCTTACTTGATCTTCAATACAGCTTAAAATAAAATCTATCATCATATTAAGTTTCAAGAAAACAGTTTTTGCTTGCTAACGCGAGTTAAGTTATATAAATTCAGATATTGAAGTTAAGTGCACTTTTCTTTATTTTTTTATCATTTTTTATTGAGGGTTTATTTTTTCGTTTCGTTTCTTTAACACAATGAAGCCTCCTTCAGTGAAATGATAGAATATGTAATACTTTTCTTGCACCTTGTTTTTAGTCAGTGCCACAATAACGGAGATGACAACCACCAGGTGTACCACTAAGATAGTACACATAATATGAACCACAATTTCTCACTTTGATGTTTGTTGACCACTGACAGCAGCCTGAATCAATCCAGTGGAAACGCACCTGCCTGCTGACCTGACCATCTGCTACTGAGGGTTGTGCACCATTCATCCAGCCGGTTGCATCAGCGTTACACCTATGGGTTGGTGGACATGAAGTTGGCATTCTTGTGCCGGCAGACCCTTCAAAACGAAACCATCCAGGGCCGATACCGCTATCACAAGAATTGTTGGGCCTTCCATAAGTTATCTTCCTGTCAGCATTGTCCAGACTCCCGTAATTTTGACATTCTGCAGTTAAAATAGACAATAGTTAAAATGATCAAAACTTGAAGAAGCTGGGAAGCATTGGATAACTCTGCGGTTAAAATGTTTTACAACGCTTGTCCCTAGCGGCGAGAAGCGAGCAGAAACGACTGCTATCGAAGGCTGAGGCGAGATAGAAAGGCTGCTTTGCCGCTTGCTTGCGCGTTCTCTCTCGTTTGTTCCGCCAGCCGACATAGAAAAGCCATTTTATGGGGTCGGCTGATAAATTATTACTATTTCTTGAAATTTCATTGCAATAGGATTGCCAAATAACGGTTTTCGCCTTTTAATTTTAAAAAAATAACAATAAAATCGGAACAAAAAAGCAACTAAAACATCAAAGGTTGGTCAGATATAATTATGCAAATACATTGTACAACCTCAAGTGCCACAGTTTAAAGTCCAGTTCACATGAAGGTGGGTAAATCGCCTGTACATATAATCTCTCATTTTAATTTGATCAAGTTTACATGATAGGTGGAATGACCATATGAGAGATTGTATGGACATGCGGGTTACCCTACCTAAGCGGGTCACCTCACTCACCTGTGGACCCCCACCTCCATGTAAACAGGCCCTAAGCGTCTACCTGCCTTCGCAAAACGGCTATCCAAATAAAAGAATTTTCTACAGTTATTCTGAATCGTACAAGAGGGAAAAACGTTCGAAGAGAGTGTCACTACATCTAACTGCGATGCGACGCGACATAATGGGAATTGTGAAAGGTATGAGCCCAGGAGTCATTTGAAAAGGTTGAGTTTGATCGTCCGGGTGAACGTAGTCCTGAATAGGACTGTTGTTGTTGACAGTGACTGACGTTTCGACAACCTGTGCGGTAGTCATCTTCAGAGTCAAAGTGAGTTGTGTCACGTCATATAATATATATTATTATAATACCATCAACTGACGTGACACAACTCACTTTGACTCTGAAGATGACTACCGCACAGGTTGTCGAAACGTCAGTCACTGTCAACAACAACAGTCCTATTCAGGACTACGTTCACCCGGACGATCAAACTCAACCTTTTGATAATGGGAATTGATATAAATTAAGTTTTGCGGAATTGCAAATCGGTCAGTGACTGGTACATGTAAGAATTGTTTGCGTCTCACTTCACCAACTATGAATAAGTAGTCGTGAAATTGGATTAGTCTGGTGATTTCTCAGTTTAAAAACTTCGACATTTTTGTGAATAAGTTTTCGCAAATAATTTTTAATTTTGTTGCAAATTAGGATGACCGGGGGTAGTACAAAACATTTTATGTTTATTAGTATTTACAATAAATGTTTCAGTCATTTTAACTCGTATTTTTCCTCAGACCGAGTTAAAGGCCCCGCCCCAAGAGACTGAGTTCATAAAGTCCATTGGACGATATCCCCACTGAATACTAATAAGTTTTGAAGGAGGTTCAAAAGCATGATAAACTGGCAAGGTCGCTAATCTAAATCTAGGATTTTTACGACGTTCTCGTTCCTGTGGTGGCTCTCTATTGTAAAAGCTCCTAATGTAAAAAAAAGGTGACTTGCGCACGGTACAAATACATTAATAATTGAAGTCGTACTTATCTTCGTTTGGCATTTTTGGTAAAAGGTCGTAAAGCAAATTGGGACAGAATTAGTAAACAAGGGTAAAGGGAAGGAAGAGCGAAATAAAATACAATGTAAGGGAAAGGAAAGCGGATGTAGCAAACTGAACTTCTTTCAAACGTTACCGTGAATGAACAAAAATAAAATCCAAACACAAGATGCTAAAAGAAAAAGATACTAACAAAGATAAAAAGATACTAACTAGTAAATTAAGATTTAGGGGAACATTCTCTGAGGCTCTTTCTTTCTGAATTTTTCGTTAGACAACAGATGGGTCTCGATGATTAAAGTTGACCGCATTCGCAGTTAGTCGGCAAAATTAGAGAAATCAATTCTGCGGATTGAAAGTAATAGTGTATATATCGTGAATAATGTAATGTTCGCTCGACGTGATCAATGTGGGTGATTTTTCGACTCCCCGCCTTAACATGGCGGAAACAAGTTCAAAGTTTTCCTCTTTTATTGAGAACCTTCTTGAGTAACAAATATTTAATATATTTAACAGTTATTGAAGGAGTCTGACTAAGATGTGAGGAATTATGCAGATCGAGGAGGAGCATGCCATCGATTGGGTACGTCCTACATCGGCTTCCAAATATAGTAACCGTGTACCGGTTGTGGGGATTTAGCGATGGGACTAGAGACAATCAGAAACGGCGATATATTTTTAATACATAATAATAGAGAAGAAACAAGATTATTTCACTTCGTTGCGTCGGTTCAGTTACGAAACCCCAAACTGATAAGTATAGAGGCAAAGTTGAATGATCACTTGATTGAAACTGACACAAGCTTGTGCAGGCGCTTTCCCATCTCAATCTTCTTTTAGTTAATCATTTTAGTGAGAAGGGTCTAACGACAAAGTGATTTCTGTTAGTTAAACCTTTCAAGTATGTAGCACCCCAGTACTATTCGCCTTGTGCAACGGATTTTCAACGCTCCATTTTCATATGTTTCTTATAGTGAAGCTTCTTTATCTCTCGTAAAAAAATTGGACCAAGAACCCTTTTATGATGCTCAAGGTTTTAAGTTGGCCACTGATCATGAGTCCATCTGATCAGTTTATGGCAGCTAATGGGGTCCTTATCGCAACGTTTCAGTTCTTCTTACTTGCTCGATCAGGTCGCGACTAAAACTCGTTTTCTTACACCTTTCTATGGAGTATACTGAACTCTCTAGTAGTATATGTTATCTTGGGTGCATTGTTTCTTGGTATTGCAGACATTAAGTAATGTTAGTTCGCATTTGTTTTGTGTTGTTGGAAATGTTTACTAAGTTTTCTTCTCCGCCCAACACCAAGAAACTACCATTATCTTAAAGCTCCGGCAGTCAAAAGAAGTGATGTCTTTAAATATTCCTTAAGAGGTTGCAGGACAAAATCCAGATAGAGTGAGAGGCTCAAACAATTGTTGAAGACTGGTTTAGTCACGTAGGTACGAAATGAGTCTTAGCTACCGCAAGTAACGACGATCCCTACGCCGGCATAGTAGAGGTTTAGTAAATGGACATCTTCCTAATATTCGGCGAGTTGATTACCTGATGTTAGATTGCAAGTTCTGCCATTTCCAGTGTAAGGATTCTTACATGAACAGCTAAAAGATCCCACTGTGTTTGTACATGAAGCAAGTGAACTGTGGCAGTTATGAGTACCGCTGGCGCACTCGTCAATATCTACAAAACGAAGAATGCCAAAATGTATAATCAAAACGGTTTTCATTGCTAAGAGAAAACAGAACGAGAAAAACGGAATGAGTTATCTTAAGCGTGGTGAAAAAAAAAAAAAAAACAGTAATGTAAGAGCTGCTAGTAAGGTGTTTCCTCATTGGTCGCAGAAACACTAACACATTATTGTTTATCATTATTTCCCATTGTTTTACGGTTAGGGTATCGAACCAATTGACTTTTAGGCCTAAAAAAAAAGATCGCATGTTTGAACAACCACCATCGTTGCACTTATCATATAAAATGGCTGTTTGGCCCCTCATTTCTATTTGTTTACTACATACATTCAATACTAAAATTAATATAAATTCCAGCCTAACCAAAGCTTTAACTGTAAAAAGCGAGAAGAGCACAAAAGACTCTTGTATTGCTGTCGTTGCCGTTCGCTCAAAAAACAAACATATCAAACCAACAAAATTGTACTCAAACGGCTCACCAGTGCATGTGAATCCATCTCCTGTGAATCCTGCTTTACATGCGCATGCGTAAGATCCAACAGTATTACTACACACCGCATTAACGTCACAGCTGTGAGAGTTGGTAGAGCACTCGTCGATATCTGGCGAAAAAGGCGAGGAACGCTTCTTGTTAATAGTGATGCAGTAAACTCTTGATCAATAAGATCATTTACTCTCATTTTCTCTATGCGTTAATCCTGCTTAGGTACAATAGGTAATCGATATTTTTGCCTTTTTACATATAAAGGAAGAAAAATATCATTAGATTACAACAGAAACTCATAACGGGTTGATTCAACGCTTTTAAAAATCAAATGGACAATGAAACAAAAAAGAAGACAGGAGAGAAAGGAGTCCCAGCTCTTACGATAGATTAAAGGCTTGTCACCCAATCAGTTTCGAACCTTCAGATTAGAGTCGCTTATGGGAAGGTATCGTTTACAAAAATCGAACATTAACAGGTCGTGTCTTTGAAAAACAATTTAATGTGTGCAATTTCAAAGTTACGATAAGTGTAGCTCCATGTCGACTTATGTTTCTCTTAGGAGAGGTGGTCGCACATGAACATGGAGGATCAACTGTATCTCAAATACCATTGCAAGGTTTTCCATCTCCTGTGTACCCAGCATTACACGAGCATTTGTATGAACCAACGGTATTCTGGCAAACGGAATTGACGTCACAGGAATGGGAACCAGTGGTACATTCATCCAAGTCTAAAAAGCAACCACACAGAGGGTTCTTGTCAAACAATATGACTTTTTTCAGTTAATGGTTAACGTATGTGCTTATGTTCGTTAATAATTTGCAAAGAGGTGTTTAGAAAACCGGGTTAAAAAGTAAGCGGAAGTTAGCGCCACTTTTCCTGTGGTTCCAACGTATGGACGCTTTCTCGTTCTTCTTTTGATTACGCCGATTTCATGCTTTTGCGGCCATTTTTAGGTCAATGGACATTTTTTTAATGCAAATGTATACGACTTGTTTCCCTATGTTTCTAACAATGACACTGATTGGTGTTACCCTCTCTTCCTTTTCATGCAATCTGTCTAACCATCTGCCTAACATGCTGTTATTGTGTTTCGACCTTTTTAAATGTTAGTAGTTTTAACTGACGATCAGTAGATTCACTATCTGGAACGTGAAGATTAAGATATATACGGTTATAAACCTTCATAGTGCTATGCTTATTACCTTTAAAACAAGTGTAGTTGTAACAGTTAGTACATGGCACATCATTCCAAGTGTAACCATGCTTGGCGCCAAGAGTGTGAACACAGTCTTCGTTTTTCCAGTCGTTCGGTTGCTGTGGGGCCCAGAACCTAAATTTGCTTATTTCTTTGTTTGTCCACACAAAGGAGCCCTCCACACTTCGGTCATTGAGTCCAATCCAAGATCTCTCTCCGTTGTGATGGTGTTGAATGTAGACATTTTCTTCCTGATCGTGAACCGTTACCAAATTGGAACTCATCGTAGAACAGTTTGACTCAGCGGTCAGCCACGAGGCGCATGCACGACTTGTGAAGTAACAGTAGCCACCGAAAAAACTCCATCTTGGCTGGCAAATATCTGTGATAAAGATATAAAACGACTGTGCAGTTTAGAAATCTCCACACAATTGGTCCCTTAAAGAGTGCCTTCTCCACAGGCTTTCCCAAGGCTTAGTAGGGAGAACAGAACAATCGAGAAGCGCGAGAAATGCAGGGAAGCAACGCGAGCGACTGGGGACGAGGCAGCTTCACAAACATCATTCCGACTGCTTGTGGGACCGATACGCTTAGCAGGAGGAAAAGAGGAAAATAAAACTGACGACGCCAAATTGAGAGCAGTATCTACTGATTAAATGGAATAATCAGTAGCGAAAACATTGAACGAATTCCAGGGAGGTAATATTTAAAATGATCGCGTTCCTCTATTAATGAAATGACCCTCCTATATAAGTTATCCCTGTATGCATTCATAATGAATTAGTTGTGAGTAATCAGTAAAACCTATGTGTTGCTAAAAGAAGAATGCCATTAAACCGTTCTTACCTGACAAGACAGTATATGATACAGAGAGAGGGTCGTACTTTGACTTGTACAACTCCTTTAAACACACTCGAGCTCCAGTTGTGTTGACATACTGAAAAATGAGATATGTGACGATGAGAGCGCATTTGATAATGCACAATTCCTTAATTATTTCGTCTTACTCTCGACAATATAGTGTACTTTGCAAGTGACTGCCTTCAATACCGTATTAACTACAGTACTGCCCAGCACTTAAGCACCGTGTAATTAACCGACACAACATTGTTGGCCGTTCTTGGAGGGTGTTCAATCAACTCGCTCGCTACACGATGAGGTACTAGGAATCTGATTAACATCTTGGTCTTTATTTATTATCTTCTTTGACGTCTGCTAACAATCTTAATCTTCTTACTCTTCTTCTCTACTCAATCCTTGCTCTAAACTAAGTCAAATAGCTGACCAAAGCTGGACATGCTTGAGTTAGCTGACGCTGGGAATAAAAAACAGGGTGAACTCAGTGTGGGTAATGTTTTGGTATTTCTGAACCTACACGGTTGTGATCAGTAAAAAGCTGCAAACCGATGAAAAACTAAAACGCTGGTTAACAAGCCAAAACAGGAACTTCAACGAGACTAATGAACCAATTGTCAGCGCTGACGTGACAAAAACGGTCACCTATGATAAAGTAGCAATGTTCTGACAATTCTTCGTTTTCACTGTCACTCAATAAACACGGCACAAAAAATAAACTGGAAACCGTCCTGTTGAAGAAGCCAAGAAAATGAGATTTTGTAACAGACTAACAATTTATCCAAATCTCAGGTCTTTGTGGTCCACAGTTTCTAAGTTATTTGCCTAAACATTTCACGTGCCTTCGTTAGAGCTTTGTATGGAGACGCCATATTGGTGGACAGAAACTGTCCACATGCCCTCCGGAAATCAATAAAACGATCTGGAGTTCTCTTTTTCTATAAAATGCTCTTCCTTTTCACTCAAGAGCTAGCATACGTGCACAAAAGCACATCTTTGAACACTTGAAATGGTTAAACTGCTGAAAATCAAGAGGAATGACCTTTTTCAATGAAACAACATTCCTTTTTGGTGTCACGCACCAAACATGCTTCGGTGCTGGTAACTTCTACAAAGATTTATTTTCTATTCATTTTAAACCTAGTGTAGATAAGAATTCGTAAAACCTC